CTTTCCTTTCCTTTCCTTTCCTTTCCTTTCCTTTCCTTTCCTTTCCTGTCTTTCCCTCCATCCCTCTATCCCTCCCTCATCCTCTCTATCCCTCACTTTCTTTCTCTCTTCCTTCCTTTCTGAACTTTTTTATTCCTTTTTCTCTCTGCCTCACTAAACTTCCCATGCGTGTCCCATTTCCCAAGCCTGGGACCTTTCAGAAGACCCTGTACCTGGTTATTCGACAGCAGCACTGTCTAACAGAAATATATTGTGAGGCACATGCATACTTTTATGTTTTCTAGTAGCCACATTTTAAAAAGTAAATAGGTGAAACTGATGTTAGTAACATTTCAAAACATTATTGTAAAATCAATATAAAAATTACTGTGATATTCTAGTTTCTATCTTCATACTAAACTGGAAAAATGCAGCATATGTTTTACACTTACATCACACCTCAGTTCGGAATAACTGTGTTTCAATATCCAAAAGCCACATGTGGCTGGTGCTACCATATGAGAGAGTACAGATCCAGAGACTCATTTGTCTTCCCTCATGCTGCTGTGGCAGAAATGGACAACTGCCTCCCAACATTTATTTTATCCTTTGAATTGAAGAATAGAATTTCAACTTGGGGGTTCTGTTTCTCAGTTTTCCCTGCTGTTAGGTGTGGTCAAGGCCAAGTTTCCTTGTTATTTGTGCAGGATGACTCTGGTCCATTTTGTACATTTTGTTCCTGGAATCAGCCATTTATTCATGAAGCCCTGGTGCCTTTAGTGGGAAATGATATCAATATTTAGAGATCACGGTCTCACAATTAGGCCTTTTGATTAGACAGAACTGGGAAATACATATCTTTAAAATAAGAGGCAAATAATGGGGTCCATGCTAGTATTCCCCATTCAAATTTAAGATTACAGAGTTTCAATATATTTGATTTTATATTTGTATCTTTTCTCTGTGAAAATGTTTTTAGCATCAATATAATTAATATTCACTTTACCCCAATATCTATAAATATTGTACATGTGTGTATATCACAGAGTTTCTCAGTAATAACACCAATACTATCATGACAGTGACATTCTGATGAGGAAAATGGTACTGACCTGGCCTAACTAAGATGAAAGAGCTAATGCAGGATTTCTCAGCCTCAGAGCTACTGACATTTTCAGGCCAGATAATTCTTTGTGGTGGGACTGTCCTGTGCACTGGTGATGTTTACCAGCATCCCTGGCCCTCTGTCCACTAGATGCCAGGAGCACCTCCTCCCCAGCACTTGTAACAACCAAAATAGGTCTTTAAACATTGCCATATGTTTTCCTGAAGGCAAAATCATCCACAATTGAGGATCACTGGACTAATCTAAGGACTTGATAAACATCACATAGAGACAAACTGACATATATTCCACAGCTAAACTCTCAAGGTTATTTAAAAAAAAAAAAAAACAAAAACATAAAATAACTGAACTTGGTTTTCTTACACAAAGCGTAGCTTATTACATTAATTTTTCTGTCTCTTGATTTTATTTTAACAAAATATCCTGGCGATCTTTCCAAATAAGTACATAAAGTTCTTCCTTACTCCCTTTATAGCTGCGCAGGGCTCCATTTTGGGTATATGATAATTTATCCCACCAGTCACCTAATGACAGGCATTTGGGTTAATCCTGCTCTTTTGCTATTAAAAAGAATACTGCAGTGAGCAGCAGTGTAGAGATCACACTTGGTATATTTGCTAGTGTATCTTCGGGGTAGGTTCCTCGAAGTAGATTTTGCTGGGTCAAAGGGCTAATGTGCATGAAAATATGGTAGAGCCTGCCAAATCTCCCCGCAGAGGCTGTACCACTTTGTATTCCCACTAGTGTCCTGCTTTCATTACTTAACATGACAGTAAGAACATTTCCAATGTCATTAAATAACCCTTGAAAATTGGATTTTATAATGGCTGCCCACAATTCCCACACATGAATATACCATCATTCCTTCCGTGTTGAACATATATGATGATCCCAAACTTTCTGTTATAAATAGCACTGAAATGAACTTCCTTGCATAAAAATCTTTGACTGAAGTTCTGGTTCTTTCCTTAGGACAGATTTCCAGAAGTCAGGTTACTGTAGCAGAGGGTTTAGATGTTTCTTAAGTCCCTTGTGACATATTGCTAAAGTCTTTCTATAAGAAAAGAGTATATTTTTTAGCAAGAATATTGGGACAGATATTTTTCTCGGCTTCAGGGTCTTAGATGAGGGAATAGACTTATCTGATTCAAGCAGTCTGTCCTTCTAGGGGAAATAACTAAATCATACCAAATGATGTAAAGACCCAGTCTTAAAATCCCCAAAGAAATTCCTTACAGTTAGTGGCAGTTCTCATCTATTGCATCTTCCGGGGCACTAGGCTATTCTTTACTGCTGGTTAACTTGCCGCCATTTTCTCTAGACACATCTATTCTGTCTCAAAGGGGCAATCATTTTCTCCCTTCCCAGCAGTGACAGGTGTGCAGACTTTGTTTATCCAGCGCTTCTCCTCCAAAGAGCACCTTCCCCAGTCTATAACATCACAGAGAAGACCAGAAGATAGAACAGCTCACGTGTGTCAATTGATATATAAACAAGCAAGGAGAGGAATAACAAATGCTGCATCTTTAATATTACTGCTTAAAATAATGGCCACGTAAGAAATTTAGTGAACACAGTTAGGACTAATTTGACGTCCCTTGATTGTTGAGTATTCACAAGCTCAAGCCTACAAGTCAGGAAACAAAATACTGAACAGGGTCATTAACGCAAATGTCATTTTAAAATGTCTGTTTAACCCCCTGGGAGTTTGTACAAATAAGGTATGAAGACTGAATGTATGAAACACGATGAAACTCATGTTTTCCTTGCAGTTTGTAAAAGGGAACAAATCTCAGTAACTCTTAAAAATCAGATACCTGGTATACCAAACTCTGGATCTAAAAATCCCTTAACGTTTAGAAAAAAACTTAAGATCCAAGAGATGATTGCACTCGGAATAAAAAGGTTCTTATTCACTTGTGGGGAAAATCAGCAGAGAAAAGAGCTGTCGGTCAGTGGTGGCTCACCTGTGCCTTTGCCTGGTGACTTGAACTTACTTTTTCAGCCAAATTTGAAACCTGCAAGGGGCAACTGCTAACAGGAATGTCTTTGTGTTATCTATGTTAACCTACTTCTTCCCATATGAACCCTCTCCTGCTGGTGTAACATTTCTATAGCAATGCATGCATGTGATTGGAGGGATCAGCAGATGTGACCCTTGTTCTTTCCATAGTAACCATGTGCATTTCTGGGCTCCAGGGAGGAGCTGTGCTCTCTGAGGTCAGGCCTTGTAGCCTTGATTGTGCTCTGACTAGACCAATGTTTTTCCAAAAGCAGTCTGCCACAGGTCAGCAAGGATTGTGCAAAAATGAGAGGGAGGAAGGGAGGGAGGGAGGGAGGGAGGGAGGAAGGGATTGTGGTTCCACTTCTGGGCTTTTGCACTCACCTGAGTCTAGAATCTGGAAAGCAATGGTACCCCCATCCCCTTCCCCTTCGGATATCTGCAGGGCTCTGTTGGTTACCTTCAGGTGTCTGCTCTGATGTCATCTGCTCAGCATTCCATTTAGAATTAAAGCCCCAGCTCCCTATGCTGCATTCTTGCCTTGTGTTTTTTATGTGCTGTCACCAGAAGTGATACTAATTTGGAATTAACGGCGCTTAATATTTACAGCCCCTTGATTTCCTGGGACTCTTCCTTGGCTCGTGGAGAGTCCCCAGCAATGTCCTCATGGTCCTTTGTTTTTGTAAAATTTGTGAAATGGTTT